TAGATGACAATGAGGACACTAAGAGAGACTTATATAGATCTAATCTACCTGGGAAGTAGAAAAAGATAAGATCTCCTGAGTAAACTGGGACCAGGGGATTTGGGAGAGGATTGAAGGGAAGGGGAGAGGCAAGGAGGGGAACAGAGAAAAATATAGAGATCAATAAAACTCAATAAAAGTATAAAAAATAAGAAAGGTTTGAACCTCCACAGAAGCAGGCCCAAGGAAGTGACCTCTGCAGGAACAGGTACAAGGGAGCGACCACCAAAGAAGCAAGTGGAGCCAGAGACCTCTGTGGGAGCAGGTCTGAGTCAGGAACCTCTATGGGAACAGGCCCGAGCCAGGGACATACTTGGATCTAATCTACATGGGAAGGAGAAAAAGACAAGATCTCCTGAGTAAATTTAGAGCATAGGGATCACAGGAGAGGGTAGAATGGGACGGAGGAGAAAGGACAGGGAGCAGAGAAAAATATATAGTTCAACAAAAACAATCTAAAAAATATCAAAGGAGCCTGCAGGAGGCCAGTAACCCAAAGGCTGGGCACTCTAGGGAGCAGCAGGTCTTGAGTTGCTCTGATTTCACATAGGTGGCAGGGACTGCAGCAGTATCCTTGACGTCCTGGAACTGAGAGAGGACAAGATCCAGGGGAGCCTTAGGTTTAGAAGAAGCTTTTCCCATAGTGGAGATTACTTCATTCATAACCACAACAAGGAGACTCACAACAAGCAAACAAAAATGAGGAGACATAAAGTCGGCAGACACAGATGGGGAGATGCTGTGCATTGGATCACGTGACCCCCATATGAGTCCCAAAGGGTCATGACCCTTTTACCAGAGGAGGAATTGAAACTTCCACTATTTTCCTCTGGCTCTGAAATTAAAAGCCTTCCACCAGATCTCCTTTGAGCCCCATATTGTCCAGACACTAGACACCAGATAAAACCCAGAAACTTACCAATTGGTAAAAACAGTACAGTAAAGTCTGCCAGAGACTCGGGTGTCCCCCCAGGATGAGGTTTGCATGAGGTCCTGGGTTCTGCAACAAAAATGTTAGGTCCAACAGAGGGTCATGCAAAGGTGGGGGACAGACCACCAAAGTCTATTATACCAGAAGCAAACCTTATTCCAGAAAAAAAAAATTACAAAATAAATCTCCATGGGGTACAAAAAGCTCATCAGCTAGCTGAGACCACAGCCAGAGAGGAACTTGTAAGGCTGTGGCAAAGGACAGTTTCCAAGTCCAAACTCCTCTTTTTTCTTTCTTTCTATTTATTTATTTATTTATTTATTTATTTATTTATTTATTTAAGATTTCTGTCTCTTCCCTGCCACCGCCTCCCATTTCCCCCCCTCCCCCAATCAAGTCCTCAGCCCAAAGAGCAATCAGGGTTCCCTGCCCTGTGGGAAGTCCAAGGACCACCCACCTCCATCCAGGTCTAGTAAGGTGAGCATCCAAACTGCCTAGGCTCCCACAAAGCCAGTACGTGCAGTAGGATCAAAAACCCATTGCCATTGTTCTTGAGTTCTCAGTAGTCCTCATTGTCCGCTATGTTCAGCGAGTCCGGTTTTATCCCAGTCTTTTTCAGACCCAGGCCAGCTGGCCTTGGTGAGTTCCCGATAGAATATCCCCATTGTCTCAGTGTGTAGGTGCACCCCTCGTGGTCCTGGAAACAACCTAGATGCCCTTCAGTGGAAGAATGGATGAAGAAAGTATGGAATATATACATATTAGAGTACTACTCAGCAGTAAAAAACAAGGACTTCTTGAATTTTGCATGCAAATGGATGGAAATAGAAAACACTATCCTGAGTGAGGTAAGGCAGACCCAAAAAGAGGAACATGGGATGTACTCACTCATATTTGGTTTCTAGCCATAAATAAAGGACATTGAGCCTATAATTGGTGATCCTAGAAAAGCTAAATAAGAAGGAGAACCCAAAGAAAAACAAATAGGCATCCTCCTGAATATTAACCTTTATCAGGCAATGAAAGGAGACAGAGACAGAGACCCACATTGGAGCACCGGACAGAAATCTCAAGGTCCAAATCAGGAGCAAACTCCTCCTTTTTCTATCAAGAAACAATAAGCTTTAGCCATGAACAAAATAATTTCAGGTGCACAGACACACACACAGGCAAAACATCCATATACATAAACATTGATAATAGTAATCAATACATGCATACATAAACTTTGGTGATAATAGTAATAGTAATCAAAACATCCATATACATAAACATTGGTGATAATAATAGTAATCAAGAGGGTGTGATGTGCAGCATATATGCAGCTCTGGACTTGATCCACAAACTCACAGCTCCGCATAAACTGGGTTCTGTGGCCCATGCCTGTAATCCCACCATTGAAGGTGAGGTCAGCAGAATCAAAGTCATTCTTGGCTGTATAGCAAATTCCAGGCCAGTCTGGGCTACAGACCATGGAATTTTTTTTTTTTTAAAAAAAAGATGGTAATGGCACAGGCCTTTAATCCCAGCACTCAGGAGGCAGAGGTAGGTGAATCTCTGTCTACAAGTGCTAGTTCCAGGTCAGGTAGGGTTTTTATACAGAAAAACTCTTTCTTGAAAAACCAAACAAAGAAATAAAAAGGTAAAAACTGCTTCCAAATCATTCTAATGTATCGTCAAAGTTAAGAACCCCTTCTTTAAACTCAAATTTGCATTATAATACTTAAAAACAGGTAGCTTTTTGTTTTCTGAAATGCTGTTTATCCACATTTCCAGCTATCCCTGTATTTTATAGATTGAGTTCAGATTCCTGAGGGTACCACTCATAGGCCCTCTAGCCTGGCCCTCTGCTCCTTGATCTGCAGTCAGTCCTGACCCATATTTTATGTCCTGAAAGGCACCTGTCTTCCTGTTTAGTCTCCTGAATTCTTCTCTGTGAGTTCAAAGCCAGCAAGTTCTATATAGTGAATTCCAGGCTAGACAGGGCTACATAATAAGATTCTGTTTCAAAGGAAGGAAAGAAGGAAGGAAGGAAGGAAGGAGCAAGCTTATGAGTATGTATGTATCTGAATACTGTAAACCTACAGGTTCTGAGATAAGGGCCAATGCTGTGATGATGAGAGCTGTGGTGACCTTTAGATGAGGCACAAACAGAAAAGTCCCATTGCTAGGCTCCATCATTTTCATTATTATAGTTCAGGGGTTCCTAGAGACAATTTGTAGGTTGTTACTCATGGTTGCTTGGTTAAAGTTTCTTGCTATCAAAATCCTGCATGGCCTTTAATCTTTATTTTGTGTCTGGCTCATTAATAAAATGATAGACCCTTTTGAATGGAATGGAATGCTTGGGACTCTAAGGAATCCAACTGAGATTTTTTCGCTTTCCTTAAATATAACTCAGCAAACAAGAGACCTACTGGAAGGGGAATGTAACCCAACCCAGGGAGAAGGGAGAGGAGTGAGTTCCTAAGGGCGAGGGCCCACCTTTGGTCTCAGATAACGTCATAGTTTCTGGGAAGTACAGCTCCTTAACTGTTCTTAAACTAGGCATCCTGAATGGCAACCTTTTTACTAATCCCGTTCTGGCACAGGGATGTGTACATAAGTGAGTCAATTCTCTCATGAATTCCTTCCTGCCTCCTCCACTCCTTAGGTCTATGAAAGTGAGGCTAGAGGGACAGCTGAGAAGGAAGTCAGGTGCCAAGAGGCATGGAAAGGGACAGGCGGGGTTGCCATTGTTCAAGGCCACAAACACTGGACTTAGAGTCTCTTCTTCCTTGTGATTGTTCCAGGAACTCTCCCTCTTTCTGCTTCCTTATTGCATTTCTTCATGGTGCATCTGTTTTATGGTCTGAGAATGGCTGTGCAAATAACAATTCAGTAAAAATGACTTCTTATGAGGCAGGGACCCTAAAAAAAGACTAACCATTCATGAACACAGGTTAAAGAAGGGCCTGAAATTGTGCAGGTGGTGTTAGGAGGCAGGTGTTTGTCGAATCAAAGTAGAGGGAGTCCAAAAATCATTCTGGAAGATGGATTTTGTTTAGGAGACTACAGAAAATTTTAAGATTCCCTCTGCCCAGATTGAGTGAATATGAAGTTAAATTATAGAATTTGTCCACATTGGGCACAATGCTTAACTCCCCCATGTTGACTTTTTCAGGCTGTAAAAATGGGCATGACAACAGATCCTCTTGAGAAACCTCCAGTTACGTGCAGAACCTTAGGCAGTAACTGCACACAGTGGGGCTGGCTGTGAGCCCTTGTGATTATGGGAACAGCAAAGCTGCCAGCCCGGGTGTCTAGGCTGGAATGGTTGCTTGTGGCTGGACATTGGCAGGCAAGCTGGGGTTGAAATGGTTCAGGAAGGTGGACATTCCAGATCTCACTAGGCAGTTCTAGGAAGACACCTTCGCCAAAAGGAGGTTGTAAGGGGTGTGGAAACAGTTGCAATCTCCTGGAGGTCTAGGTGCGTAGCCTGAAATCAAATAAGTATGCAAGGCCAAGACACAGGTTTCAGGGAATGCCTTGCAAAGACCATTCATATTGCTAAGAGAATTCCTATTGTGGCCAGAGCCATTATTTTTATCTTTGTACTGTCCTCATTTATAAGGTGTAAAGAGAAGGACTGAAGAAGGCTCCAATAAGGAAATGGATGTGTGCATCAGAACAGTTTTCGGGTTGATGTTTGTAAGCAGAGGGAGCATGTGTTTTATTTGAACATAAAAAGGACTTCTTAAAGGTGGATTCCCCCTCATATAAACACACTGGGAACCTGAGATGACAGCAGACTCCCTGGAGAAAACCCTGGAGCGGAGTCACATCAGGAGGCAGAGGCAGGACTGTGCCACAAGGCAGGGTAGACCAAGGATGTCGTTTAAGGCAAAGGGAAAAAGAGAGAACTGAATGGCGAGAGGAGAGGGCTACAAAAATGCTTATGGGGGACGATCACAGCCCAGGCACCTGCGTGGCTTTATTTGCTCTCTTCCTGTCACCTTCGGATGCAGTAAGAATGACCCTTGTGTTACAGATGAGATGGAGGAGGTGATGGTGCTGCCCAGGGTCGTCTGGCCAGAGCTACAGAGCATTGCCTCCAAGTCTGTTCTCTTTCTCTACCAGTCAAGTGAAAGGTAGAGGAGGAAAGCAGGTGAGTTTACACCCCTGATGAAGATTAGAAAGGGCACCGTGGGGTCGGCAGCGGTGGTGCAAGTTTTTAAGCCCATAAATCGGGAGGCAGAGGTAGGCAGATCTCTGTGAATTCCCCCCAGTCTGGTCTAGAGTGAGTTCCAGAGCAGCCAGAGCTACACAATAGAACCCTGTCTTCAAACAACAACAATAACAACAAAAAGAAAGACAGCATATTTGTGTTAGGTACAATCATGGCTGCCTAAAATACACAAGCCATTGGAACCTGGGAACACTGTCTGTCTGGTGAGTAGGACATTTCAAATATAATGAAGTCCATATGTTGGGACAGAAATCTCCCTGGATATATCAGTGGTTCAAATGAAGTTAAGAGGGTCTCAAAGTACATCAGGGACAGACGAGAAAGCATAAGGAATTGTCTTCCACCTGTCCCTGACTCTGAAAATTGAAGCAGCTATGAGCCAAGGTATGCAGAAAGCTCCAGGAGCTGTAGCAGGCAGAGTCAGAATCACCCCTCAACCTGCAAAGTTTTCTTAAGATTCTTCTTGAAGCCTTGATTTTGCCCTAGATACTCACTTGAAACTGTAAGAACTGGGGAATGAATGCCTGTAGTCTTTGTGTTTCAGGGTTTAGCATATGGGAATAATTGTTTCCTCTTCTGATTTATATTTGGTTTCCATCATGTTGTAAGTAGAGATGTGTTCAGTGCACCCCAGGAACATCTCCTGGGTCTCTGAAAGTCATCGTTTGATGATAGAAATGAGTTCAAAGAGCCAGAGGAAGACTGTGGCAGGTGGAGGAGGGGAGGTCTTTGTCCTTACTTAAGTAGATCTTGCTGGTCTGAATGGTTCATCACATGAATGTCATTAAAGAAAGTGGTCTGTAGATTTTTGGCAGATGAACTGACGTGCTATAGCAACCAGGAATTAATGTCCAGTGGCTTTGGACTTGCTGGCATGGGAGGAAGTTCTGAAATCCTTGTTTGGGCTCAGCCTTTTGTGCTCTCCCCAGAGTGTCTCCTGCATTGCTGAGGTGGACAGGCACCCAGTCTCCAGACAGGCTCCCCCAGTTTGCTGAGGTTTGCAGCTCAGGGCTTGTTGTTGTTGTTGTCTTTCCCTGGCAAGTGGGGCAGTGATGAAACAGCTCTCTCTAAAAGCCTGCTAATGGAGCCATCCAGTTCCTTGATGCTCCATTGACTCCTCTGTCCTCCAGGAGGCCACACCTTTCCCAGTCCATGTGGGGCACTATGTGAGGGAAAATAAATCCAAATCCAGCAAAACCAGGGTAGTGGGTAGGGGTGGGGTAGGTGAGTAGAGCTTGTTGTGGTTGCTCTATTCTTAAAGGACCCAGCCTTTTCTCCCCTCCTCCTACCTGCTCTCTTACAGTTCATGGCTCTGGGCACAAAGAAACTGGTTTTCTAGCTTCTGCTATGGTTTGGTCTCACCCACGGAGACAATGGGCTATTTTTTTTTTTTCAGTGTCAAAAGCCCTTGTGTCTGGCCCTGAAGCAGTGCCAAAGCTCACTTTTTCCTGTTTGCTCCTCTAGGCCAGCTCCCTCTGCAGGTGTGGGGGTGGGGTGAAGTGTCCAGTCAGAGGGAAAGCTGTGGGGATCCCCGGCCATTGTGTAGAGGAGAGTCATTCAGGCTGTTGGCAGATGAAACAAGAGCTGGGGTTCAGGACCTGGTCTACCCAGTTCTGACCTTGATTTGAGTAGATTTCCCTCTCCAGGCCTTAGCTGTGACTTCTTTAAGATGAGACTGAAGAAGAACTCTGGACTCAGAGCGTGATTGCATGACTGTCAGTGATGTTTGCTCTCCCTCAGTGAGATGTGTCTATCCTGAGCCCGAGGCTCCAGCGTCAGTCAGTGTGCTACCAATGGGCTGCCGTGTAGGAGGATGGAATGATGCCTTTGGACAGGTCTTATTCTGCCAAATTATGGAAATCCCGACTCCCAATTCTGATGCTTTGGAGAAGTTTGTACTCTTATGAATGGGGAGTCATCAGGGGCTTTAAGTGGGAAGTGACCACTTGATCTGTTTCCCAGGACATTTCTGGGATCTGTGTTCTACAGACAGTCCACCTGAGAGACAGCTCTCAGCCTGGAGGATCAGAAGCCATGAAGCAGAGGGGACAGTGAGGGCCATTTGGGAATTGGCAGGTCTTTGTGACTAAGAAGGAAAGAAGAGACAGTCACAGGGAAAGGGTAAAGGTGGCTCTGAGCTGTCTGCTTTATGCTCAGGTGTGGATCAGATAAGGACAAGGGTTTGGATGCCTGGGACTGACTTGTGAGCTGAATTTGGCTTATATTGGATGGGGAACCTATGGGCTCTCTAGCCACAGAGCTCCCAGGCAGCCAGGAGACACTGATGCTCTAGGAGGCTGAGGGAGATCAGGGTGAGTGCAGAGGCTCTGTGGTTTTATGGGAATTGCAGGCCCCAGCCATAAGGCACGTGGCTGTGTACCTCTCCCAATCATTTTTTTTAGTGATTTAGGGTGATTAGTTTTAGGAATATGACCAGATATTCTTAACCCAACATCACACATTACCAGGGAGAAGCAGGGAGAGGATGAGAGGAGGGTTGGAAAAAAAAACAAACAAAAAACAAACCAGGTGTTCTAGAAAAAAAATAACAAGGAAGAGGAGAAGATGAAAATACACACTATAAAATTTTTAATGTTCTTTATAAATCATAAAAAGTCCAGTGTAAATGTGAAAGTCCTTTTGAGAACACAGTGTCCTTGAGTCAGATCCAGGTGGGGTGTGGCTACGAGGACAATGGAAAGTCCCCTAGAAGGATGATGCTGAGATCTGCAAAGGTTCCTTGCCCTCATCACTCGGTTCATTTGCCCTCCTGTGCAATGAGCTTCATAGATTCACATTACTGCATCAAACAGTCAACAGATGTGTGCACAGCACATGCCTACTGGACACTGTGCCACACTCCATGATCTCATGTGGTCCTCCCAGTGGCAAAAGGACATTTGGTGAGCCTCAGCGTGCAGAGGAGGGGACTAAGCAATCATTGGCCGAGGCCTCACAGTTGGTGTGCTCTAGTCAGAGCCTGAAGTCAGGCTGTTTCCCAATAGTTGTACATGGTTTGGCAGTTCTACATTTAATTGCTTTGTTTTAAGATGGGACAGGTGGGGTGCAATATGGGTGTAACAAGTGTGTAAGTGTGTGTGTGTATGTGTGAAAGAGAGAGAGAAAGAGAGAGAGAGAGAGAGAGAGAGAGAGAGAGAGAGAGCCTCCTATTGATGATAGGAAGGACTTCTCTAAGAATTGGCCTCACGTTTGTAAAGATTGAGATCTGTGGGTGTTGCCTTGCACCAGCTGAAGCTAAGGCTCCTCAAACACTGATGTTTGAGACCCACTGAGCTGGCTGACTGGGCTGGAGAAGACAGTGGGATCTGGGCTTCTTGGGTCTCATTCCTCTGTGAAGTCACCAAGAGGGTCAGTGTTTAAATGACTGGGCTCTTGCAGGGCTTCAGGGATTTAGTGAGGGACCCTGCAGGCCCTTCCAGATGTCATCACTCATTCTTACTTCTATTTCACCCTTCCCTCTTCCACTCTTTCCTGCCACTGTGCTTTGTGGGCAGTCTCACTCCTCTGCTTGTCCAAGGGGCCTTATCACCTGGATAGGGACAAATGTGGGGGAGGGAGAGAAACCATCTCACACAGGGCTTGGTGTTCAGTGGGGGGTTCCAGGGACACGCCTTTCAGTGGGTTTCACTGGGCTCCCTGCACTAGTGTGGAGTTGCACACGAAGCTTAGCTGCTTCTCAGCATAGGCACTGCAGAAGGTCAATGGGGAACAGTGACATTGCAGCCAGAGATGGCTGTCGGGGTAGCCACAGGCTGTGTCCCCAAGGTCCCTGGCCAGGCAGTCCAAAAGAGCAGGAGGATGAGGCATCTCTTTCCTGCAGCCTTGTCCAGTAGCAGTTTGGAGGACAAAGGAGTTCTGTTCTCCCCTTGGATGAGGACACTATCTTATGCAGTTTATTTTCTAGGGTGTTTGCCACTCTTATCCAGAAGGAAAGGGATGCCTGCTTCCGTGGATGAGCTACCAATTGTCTTTGCCACAGTACCAGGCCCTCCTCCTCTGTAAATGGTTGGATCTAGAGATCTACTGGAGTGAAGGTTTGTGTTCTTCTTAGTTTCCAGTTCACATGCTGTGCTTAGCTGTAAGTAGGCAGAGGCAAGGCATGCGCTGTCTGAAAGTTGTTTTTGTCCCATGCACTTCCTCGCTCTGATGAGAAGATTGAGTTCTGTTAATGTTTGTGACTCTTTGAACAGCTCTGTCTCTGTGAACTGCAAATGACCTTTCTGGTGTGCTGAGGTGTCTCCAGAGGTGGGTGGGGCCACTGACCCTGAGAAAGGAGGCACCATTGAAGGTTCCCCGCCAATGTACAGACTCCTGATATTTGGTGTATACACCATCTGCCTTCCTGTCCTTGGGTTGAAGCACTTAGTTTCCAGAGTGGGTTGTGATTGCTTTTTAATTTCTTAGCCTGTGGTTTCCCAAAAGAATCATCAGGAGGTTCTTCTTACTGCCACCAGGGCCTATGATTCATATTTTTCCTTCCCTTAGAAGTCCCGTAAAGATACTAGGTTCTCAACACTCATGCACATTGAAATTGGCAGTTATACTTTTTTGTGCTGGCTAATATTTTCTGGGGAGCTTTCATAGCACTTATGTGAACCCTCATAGTATCCTAATGTCTTCTACATCACAGCCACATAAGGGTTTAAGGTGGTGTCTGGGTGTTTGCGGGGTAGTCAGGGTGTGGGTCAGTGGCAGTTGAGGTGGATCCAAAATGATTCAGGAGCTTTTTCTGCATTTTTTGTGCAACTTCCTCATAACTTGCAGGTGTTAGAGGTTGATGTTTAAAGTTTCCTTGTCAAAATGCAATCTACCGTGTCTCTTCTTGGATGTGTATTATAGGAAGCACCAGGAAGGTAGAGTTGATTTACCCAGACCTTCCTGAACATTCTGAAGTCTCAGAAACTGGGTGTTAATTGTTCTGATCTCACTACCTGTAGGTCTGGGAGTAGGAAGTAGAGAATTTGACAGTTTCTGTGTCAGAAGGAAGATTGGATAAACAGAAAAGGAGTTGGATTTGTGCTTTGTTTTCATGTGCTTAATATTTAGGCATACCAATCTTTAAAAATAGCTCTCCTAGGGACGGGAGATATGACTCAGTCATTCAGAGCACTTGCTGCTGTTGTAGAGACCCGGGTTAGAGTCTTAGCACCATCTGGTGACCCACAACTCTCCACAGCCCTTGTTTCAGGGGTCTGATGGCAAAACACTCATAAACATAAGCTAAACTAAATAAATATAATTTTTAAAAGAGTTGAACTAGTGCTGGGAGTATCATCAGTGATTAGAGTACTTTCCTAACATGCATAGGTTCTTAGGTTTGATCCCAACTCCACCAGAAAGTTAAAGTTGTAATCTTGAACCTTGAAAGATAACCTGGTGCTATGTTTTTTTTCTGATATTCTTGCACTGAGCCCTATCTATCACAGTGAGGTGCCAAGAAGCTGGGCACTTTTCTGTTTTCCCCTCCATTTTAGATTTCATGATGCTGTTTGGTGATTTCATCCTTATTTTACTTCCTTAGATACTCATTTAACCTGATATCACCTAGCTAAAATTACAGAAGGCAAGGTAAATAAAAAAACTTCCTTGACTTTATATTATTTTTTCTTCCTATTTGTTTTTCAAGACACTTTTTTTCCCCCTCAGTGTAGCCCTGGCTTTCCTGGAACTCACTCTATAGACCACGCTAGCTCTGAACTCAGAGATCTGTATGCCTCTCCCTCAGAGTGCTGGGATTAAAGGCATGAACTGCCACCACCCAGATTTGGCCCTCATATACTTGTGCTATTTGTAGGTCCTTTGAATTTCCGTGTCTCTAGGTTGATCCTGGGATAGGTTCTAATCTGAGTCTGTTGTAACCCTTTGACCAGTGTAATTGCTCCTTAAATAACACTCAGCCTTGGGAAGGGTGGGAGTCCGCATACTGGGTGTTGAGGGCCTTTGGAATCAGGAAGACTGCATGTGGATTTAATTCCCCTTAGTGTTTATTAATGGTGGACAGTTGGTATGGACTCTCAGAGCCTCAGTTCCAGGAAATACAACATGATGAAGAGACCCCCAACCGTTCTCACAGCTGACTGGGAACAAATACTTGACAGCGAATGGATCATCAGCATCTCTAGAGATGAATTGTTATTGATGTCCATTTTTATATAGAGAAGTTGTAAGTAGCATGGCCACATGGATGTAACTCTTGATGGTCAGCGTTGGGATTATGAACAGGCCTGGCTACCCAGGCCCTGTGTCTGCAACTGCTCCAAAGGTTAGACTGCATAACCCATGACAGTTAACAAGGATTAGCAGAGAAAACGGGCTTAAAGCGCTGGGCGTCGTGCTTGTGAAACAGCAGTCACCCATGAATGGCAGCTATTACCACCGGAGTAGAGGCTTGTCTTCCATGAAGCTCTTGGCTTTGACCTTGTGTGTGGCAGATGCTGTCTCGAGACAGGGTGAGGTGGGAGTCAGATGGCTCTTTCAGCTAAGCTGGGGTTTGCAAGGTGTTAGGGTTTCTGATCCTCTTCTGTCAGACAGGTTTATTGGCAAACATCTTGATCCCAAAGCTGCCTGATAGACCCTGAAAAGAAAATATGGGCACTGCGACTGAGCGGCTTTAGGGAGGGGCTCCCACTCCACACCAGTTGCTCAAGAACCACGTTCTGAGCCTTCCTTCAGAGATTGTGGACTCTTATTTCCCAATATCTTGCCTCTTTGCTTGGGGTAAGATCAGCCATCAGTGCAGCATAGTGGGGCCACTACCTCAAGCAGTACAGGAAAGGAGGAGACCTGCAGGGAGGAGGGGAATCCCACATGTTGGCTTCAAAGCAAGCAAGCAAGCAAGCAAGCAAGCAAGCAAGCAAGCAAGCAAGCACCAGCTGTTTCCCTTGCCATGTGTGCTTTGACTCTCTGCCCTGCCCAGGGGACAGCTTGGCCAGTGGGCCATCTGACACTGCTGCCCCATCCAAGGCACTGGCCAGGTTACAGCACTGAGCCTGGCTTGCCAGAGTATGAGGGACCTGAATTCCTATCACTCATACCCCACTTTTCAGCTGTGTGGCCTTAGCAGTCCTCTCACCTTTTCTGAGCCTCAGTTTTCTCACTTGTGAGAAATTTGCAAGGATCAAATGAAATGAAATGCGCAAAGCCCCTAGAATGGCAGCTTCCGTACTACAGTGCTCAGTGAACACCTAGAGTCTGGTTGGTGCAGATGAACAGAGAAATATAAGATACCATCCCTTCTCTTTAACGGGTTATGATTTAGAAAGGGTGCGAGCTAACACGTCAAGAATGGCATGCCTAATCCTCCTGAATATTAACCTTCATCAGGCGATGAAAGGAGACAGAGACAGAGTCCCACATTGGAGCACCGGACAGAAATCTCAAGGTCCAAATCAGGAGCAGAAGGAGAGAGAGCACGAGCAAGGAACTCAGGACCGCGAGGGGTGCACCCACACACTGAGACAATGAGGATGTTCTATTGGGAACTCACCAAGGCCAGCTGGCCTGGATCTGAAAAAGCCTGGGATAAAACCGGACTCGCTGAACATAGCAGACAATGAGGACTACCGAGAACTCAAGAAGAAGGGCAATGGGTTTTTGATCCTACTGCACGTACTGGCTTTGAGGGAGCCTGGGCAGTTTAGATGGTCACTTTTCTAGACCTGGATGGAGGTGGGTGGTCCTTGGACTTCCCACAGGGCAGGGAATCCTGATTGCTCTTTTGGCTGACGAGGGAGGAGGACTTGATTGGGGGAGGGGGAGGGAAATGGGAGGCGGTGGCAGGGAAGAGACAGAAATCTTTAATAAATAAATAAATTAAAAAAAATAAAATTACAAAAAAAAAAGAATGGCAGGCCTAGCACAACCCTGGCCAACATAGCACAGGCAGTGAGAGCTTTGAGGTTTGGTGTAGCAGAGCTCCTCATGGAAGTCCTTTTGACCAAGTGATCTGCCCATGAGCTGGAAAGAAAGGTAGGCAAGCCCTCCAAGGTATGGAACAAGGTCAGTGTGTAGGTGAGGTCAGCTTTTAAAGGGCTTATGTCATGTGAAGGGGCTTGGGGTTCTTCAGAAGGCTTTTGAGGGCGAGAATCACATTGATTTGGACACTTATTCTGACACTTGATTATAAAGTAAGAAGTTTGAACTGTGTGTTGATTGTAGAGGAGTTCCCCATGTTAATAAGTCTGATTGTAAAATATGAATTTTTTTAAACCAAAGTCTTACTATATAGCCCTGGCTGGCCTGGAACTTCCTCTGTATGCCAGGTTGACTCCCAATTCACAGAGATCCTCCTGCCTCTGCCTCTTGAGTATTGGGACTAAAGACATGTATCACCATGTCCTACTAAAACACAGGGATTTTTATTTTACTCATAAAGAATGTTTTTGGGGAAAGAGGAGGTAGAGGTTTCATTTAAGAAGCCATTGAACCTCTTCCTTCCTATTGTCAGGCTCTGCACATGTCTGTGTATGCATGTGTTTGTATGTGCTTGTGTGTGTGTGTGTGTATCTGAGAGAGACTGTGATCTGATAACTCCTCAGCTGTTTGAGTTATGCAATATATCTCCACAGGGCGTATGACCTTTGAGCATCTGGAGCAATAGGAACCTTGGTGAATTTTTCAGAAAAGGAATGTTTTTTATTATTGTTATTCTTTATGTGTAGAGTGTTTTGCTTGCATGCGTGACTGTGCACCGTGTGATGCCTGGTGCCTTTGGAGGTCAGGAGTACACATTGGATCCCTTGAAACTGAAGGTATAGATGGTTGTGAGCCACCACATGGGTGCTGGGAACTGAATCCGCAACTTCTGTAAGAGTCCCCAGTGCTCTTAACAGCTGAGTCATCTCTCCAGGAAGAAGTGGCAATTGGATGAACTTCAGTTTTATATTGTTCTTGCTCTTCAGTTATCCAAAAAGGACAAAAATAACCATTCCCTCTTATTGTTTCTCTGCAGATACAGAGTTTACCGACGTAGAAACTTTCAAATAAGAGGTGTTATACAGCCGGTCCCCAATCCTAGGCTCAAGGTCTATTCCTGCCTTTTAGTACCATGTAGCTGTGGACACAGGTGCATGCCACTGGCTACAAATTCTCTTCATAGTTTCATCATTTGCATGTCTTAAACAGAGGTAGAAATATGAATATACAATCTGAGAAAATAACTTTGCATAGATGTACAAATATTATAAAGAGCAATAGGAGCATATTCAAAATAACAAATATAATTTGAATTTGTATCAATATACAAGAATCTATGCAATCTAAATTGTCTATAAACTATAGCTCACAAGTATTCACTATATTACTCACTATTATTAGTGTGAGCTTACTCACACTAATCTACCTATTATTACATTCGATTTCCCTCCCTATAAAATTTCCATCCTTCGAGCAGATGAGGGAGGGGGACTTGATCGGGGGAGGGGGAGGGAAATGGGAAACGGTTGCGGGGACGAGGCAGAAATCCTTAATAAATAAATAAATTTAAATAAAAAAAAAAGAAAAAAAATTTCCATCCCAACCCTCAACCCTATACCAATTATAATCAACCCCTAATTGATGTCCCTAACCCTGTGGACAAACTTTGGTGGGAGAGGGGATTTTGTCTTTTAGAATTACTTCCAGCTGTCGTGTGGGCAATGTTCTTTCTATGGGATCCTGTAAAACTAACATGATGGTTAAGTTTCAAGATTACTGTCTGCTATAATTGCAAGTAGTCTCTGAGTAGTCAGTAGGGCTTTTCTGAATTTCTGATTTGGAGTTCTGGCAGAACACTGTAAGAAGTTGCACCATTTCAGCTAACCAAGTTGGAACTATCTTGAGCAACTGGTATCCAAAACTGATCTTAAAGTAGCTCTATCAACATCATGACATCATATCAACCAGCTGGAGTCATTGTTGTGGGGCCTCATCTTCTTCCTGGAAACTTCAAAGATTACTGCAGGAAAATCTATTGTTCATTGTAGAAAACTTAAACATTATTCATATAGACATATATTTAATGAAAGATACAATATAGACAAAAATAGGTATGGAGAAATTTTTTCCTAAGATCTTTCTTTTTTCTGCCCCATACCAGATGGCTCCTGACATGAGACAAAAAGTCTGAATTTTTTTTTAACAACACACTTGGATTTAGAGAAGGATAACCATTGTCCAACTCCAAAGCCAGCTTTGATGTTTAAGTGAGACTATGTTTCTACTGCTCAGTAGACATAAATATATATGCACAGAGAATGAAATTTTACCCTGCAGATGACCTGTCCTCATAAGTCACATTCCTCTTTGTTCTGTGATCCTATCTGGATTGTTATCTTTTCCTTTTTTCATCTAGATGTCCAGGTCTCTTGACTTTTTGAAGATGAGTATTTTCCTGCAAAGACAAGAACAGAATTTTGCCCCACCCATATGAGGTTTTCTTACCACCTATATGATTGTCACCTCTGTGGATGAGCTGTCATTTCTTTCTCAAGAGGTTTCTTCTTTTCAAAGTGAATCTTTATTAATTTTGATGGTATCCATAGCTTTTCTACTCCTGTGGAAACAAGAGCGAAACCCCATCCACAATGTAGCACATCTCCTGGTTTCCATTATGAGGTCAACACATCTTTGAAATACACCAGCTGCTTTAATTCAGAAGATTTTTATATTTTCCATTGTCTCTCTGCTACTATTGTTCCTTTCTCATTAGAATTAAGAAAATTCAAGGTAAATAAAATATTATGCAATGTATTTATGGGGTATTTTCCATCCCTTTCTGTTTGTTTAGCATATCCTTTATAGTTTGATTTAATCTTTCTATAACTGCCTGACCTGTAGGATTATTTGGTATACCTTTATATTATAATAAGCAAGAAAACTGTTTCAGTTTCTTAGAGACATATTCTTGACCATTATCTGTCTTTATCTATGCAGTTATGCCCATGATGGCCATAACTTCTAAAAAATACAGGCCCAAAGCTCAGATGGTGGTTCCTCCTGGTGTTGGCAGGGCTAAGGCTGAGACTCCGGTGGTCAGATAATTTCTGGAGGCCACTGCTGTCATCGCTGCCTGCTGTGTTTCTGCTCACACTAATCCTCCTGGTGGTCTGGCCCAGCCCACCCCAGTGCTGCTTATGCTTCTCCTGGTGGTCTTGGCCTTTCAACATTTTACCACACCAATCACAACAATACGTTTTCACACAGTGTACAAATATCCCACAATACCTTCTGATTATTTATTGGGCCCTATTCTGATGTGCCAGTTTTGCTTTATCTCATATTTTAAATTTATTATTCCTTAGAAGCCTGTTTGTTTTCTAATGGGAGGCAAAAGGGAATGGATCTGGATGGGAGGGAATAGGGAGGAACTGGGAGGATTAGAGAGAGGGGGAAACCTTAATCAGGATATGTTATATGAGGGAAAAATTTCAGTAAGAGGAAAAAATATATTCCCTATGATGTTGTCATCATTAAACTTCCATGGCCTTCTGGAATACTGTTATTTTTGTTTCTTTTAGATTTATATATTTTATCTTATGTGTATGGGTGTTCTGTCAGAATTATGTTTGTGCACCCTGTTCAGTGCCTGGTGCCAGATCAGTTACGGGTGGTTGTGAGTCTTTATGTGGGTGTTGGTAAATGAACCCAGGTCTTCTGCACGAATAGCCAGGGCTCACACCCATTGAGCCTCCTCTCCAGCCTCAGCACTGCCCTTTTCATGAAGTCTTTGGAAGACAAAAGTCTCTTCCTGCTGTAAACAGATCAAGTTCTGGACCCCCTGATGTCACTCAATGCTAGCTGCTATGTGGTATATATGGGTATTGTTCTTACCTGCACTAGAAGGAGGGAATTGTGTATGGTTTAGCTATGAGCATCATACACCTTCTAGATCAGGTCATGCAAGCAGCTTTGAAATTGATACTAATCTTTGGTGCATTCATCTTCAGAAATCCTCATTAGGCGAACTTTTCTCCCTTCCCATGGTTCCAGGCACATAGGACTTAGGTGGTAACCTCGGCCACCACTGTAATATCTGCTTCAGGCCTGCCTTGCTCTTCACTTGAGTTCTCTTCTCCTTACCTCTGTGTGCTTTTCCCTGCCCTACCTCGTCTGAAGCCTGACTTAGTGAGACAGATCTTGGTGATATCCCACTCATTCCTGGTCATAACAAACTGCTCCTAATTCTTATTGGGAAGAGATTTACTTACTAAAGTTGGGACTCAGACATCATCCAATGAAAAAGGCATTTCAATTACAAATAAAAATGAACAGTCAATCCAAGTCCTCACCCTCCAGCTTGAGAACGAATATAGGCCACATCAAAGACTAACCCTAACCCCAAGGACGTGTTCACAAGGGTGGCTCAATATCCTGAGGCCTTTGCAGAGACTGGGGGAA